TATATATATATATATATATATATATATACACACACACACACACACACACACATGGATTAAATGATTGCATATTAATCACAATGGCAGTAACCACATTTTTTTTCACACCCCAATTTTTTATACATTTTATCTTTATTAATGAACCTACCACTTATTTAGGCTACATTTGGACAGTCGTCCGGTTTTTGTGTAATTGCACATGCCATCAACTAGTTAGGTGGCTATGATTGAGAATTGATCAGAGAATTGTCAGATTTTTAATTAGTATTTGAATTAAAAACCGGGGAGTCATTTAACCTTGTATTACTATGTTTTTGTTTTAAAACGCATTAAAATGTAAAAACTCATGTCATTTATAGTGTAATCCACACAAGCATGCCAAACTGCCTGCTATCAGTTTTATGGGTACATCTAAGAAAATTTGGATAAAAATCTGTTGCAACTTAAGACTTTATAATGGCTTATATGTGACTTCACAATCAGAAAACCACTGATATTACACAAGGAGTGTCACTGTACCACTACTTTATGTCTATATGGTATAGATGCTTTCATGAGTTTTAATGTTCATACTATAGTGTGACGGATTAACAGTAATAAAACAAAACACACTGAATAAAGACAACAAAATGTTTTATTTATAAATTCACAGTTTCTAATGGCACTACACTGCTGTAGTTACAACTGGAAAAAGAAAAGAAAATCAAATACTGTGCAGCTCGTCCTCACAGGTTATGAGAATTCATTAGGGCGCCACCCAGGCATCAGGCATCAGCCACTAGAGGGCGCCGTTCTAAAGGAAGCCTGGGGCGAAAAAGCACTTGTACAAGTTGTGGTGGAGAAAAACAAAGGCATGTGTGTGGAGTTCTCAGGAGAGACACACGCAGCGGTCTCTACTCACTGGGGTACTGGAAAGAGTCTTCAACACACACACTGCATGAAAAAAACATCCAGACATAAATTCCACAAGCATATATCAATTTCCATTCAAAAAGAAGGAGAAAGGTAGTAAAACATTTTAAAGTGAAACAAACATATATCATGGAAATCACACAGCGATGGTCCATCGCACGCCATCCCAATCTTTCCCTTTTATTGAAATCGTGTTGTGAATTCACATTCTCTAAACCCCAGAGTTTGATAAAAGGTCAATGATGGGATCGTCTGCATGAAAGAAAACACTTACAACACATAGAACACACAGATCCCACACAGCTGGGATGTCAAATGGCCTCTTGGGTGCATTAAGAATAACTAAGAAAGCAGCGAACACACAAATACATAAGTGTTAAGAGGGACAAGGAGTGTGTGACTAGAGAAGATGCTGGACACACACAGATCAACTTTACACGTACATGACAGGTAGGACAAACCAGACGGTTGCTTTGCTGGACTCATGCATAATATTTGCACAACAACGAGAGCTCGGCCATTTTTACGATTCACCCCGAATCCAGTAACTCAAAGCTCATCCGAACAGACCCAGCTGAGGAAAAGCAAATCTCAGCCAGATGGGTCAAAGAGAAGCTGAGTCAATCAGATGCACAACATCTCCATGATCACGTTATGAGCATTAGAACGGATTTATCGGATACTTCATTTGATACTGAAATTTGATTTGAATGCAAAATAACTGAATAAATCAAACATCCAAAATAAAATGTCAAAATCAGAATCCAGCTTTCTCAAATTACAAAAAAAGGTAGAGTGTGCAAACTTTAGAGAACAGAAAGATGTTGTCTGTACCATTTGTGTGTATCTGTAATAAATCTCAAACATGGAGGGGCCACTGTATCTCATATGTCACATGACCCTGATCTCATAGAGCCCGGGTCACTTTTAAATAAATAAATACATAAATAATTACCACTAAAATAACAGAATGTCCACAACAAACTCCCCGTGTACATATAAAGTGAGTAAAAATTAAAAAATTAAAATCTGCATGTGTCTTTTTTTAATGACGGCTACATTGAACATGAAGAAAATGAGCTGTAAACATGCTTGAAAAAGCTGGAGACTGAGCACAAGACACTGTTGGGTGCGTCACAATATGCATGTTCATGTATGAATGTGTGGTTGTGTGTGTGAGTGTTCAGGCCCAGCCTGGACTCGTTGGTCTCACTAGATCGTGATTTTAATAGAAGCGAAAAAGGCCTTAATTTGGCCCTAAAAGAGGAAATGAAGACAGAATCAACATGAACTGGATCTGTTCTTCATTCAGCTCTGTTCACTGGATTGAAGCCCTGTGCTATGTGACATCACTGGTCCCACAAACCAACCACAGACAATGACTGACATAGAGTCACAAACACTAACATGTACAAGAATTATATTCCCAACGAGGAAGGAAAGGAGAGAGTGAGAGTGAGAGCATTAAAGGGACAGTGAAAGAGGGTCCTGTTAGTGTAAAGAAACACGTTGAATGTGTTTGCCGGAATCGGACAGGTCACATGTACCCGGCCTAAACTCCTGGTCACGGTGATGCAGCGCCACATTTACATGAGCCGTATGTATGTTTCAGAGACAAGAGAACATCAAATCAAGTCTCATTCATACTTGCAAATGTTTATCAGTCAGAACTTCCCCAGAAGAATAAAAAACAAAAAAATTAAAGGGAATAACGAAAATGATCCTGAATGGATAAAAAAGGCACATAACCAAAGTTCAGAGAACCAGGATGTAGTGAAGATGGCGTCAGGATCAGCGCTCACAATAAAATCTCAAAACGATGGTGAGATGGAATAAAAAAAAAGAAAGATGGTGGCATAAGAACTCAAACTCGTCCCGTTACATCTGTCCTTCCAAATGTGGCCACGCCCAGATTCGCCTTTCCCTTCATGAGTTCCTCCAGCGTGGGCATGACCGTCACAGGAAGTTGCAGTATCTCCCCTACACACGGGGCCTCCTGCTGCTCAGCGTTCTTGGACTTGCGTCGCTTCAGAGACCTCTTCTCCATCTTGCTCTTGGCTGGAGGGAAGGTCGGTGGGGGCTCGCCGTTGCACGGGTTTGGGTCGTGTCCATTCATGAAGGGGGCACTGCTGAAGGACTCCTCAGACAGTGTAGAAGCGGAGCTCTCGGAGCTGCCCTCTGACGCACATGAGCTGGTGGACACTAAGCCATTGCACGTTGACGGCAGGAATTGAAAAGATGATGATTCACCGTTGCATCTGGGCTGACCATTAACACCCGTCGCTGAGGGGACGGAGGCCCGGAGCGTCTCCACTCTGTCCCCTCCTTTTGTCTTGCAGCGTTTCTTCTGAAAGACACAGACAGGGAGAGATGATTTAATGTCTAAATGATGCATTCAGAGAGGTATTTTAACAGCTAAAGCCAGTGTAACCGTCTTTGTGCTGAGTGAGTGTAAAGGAATATATAGACGCTAACACTTCATCAGACACTAAGAAAAGAAAAATAGAAATCAAGAAATTATAGTACAACAACACAATCACTATGATCACGTGATGGTACACATGAGGGCAGAGAACACAAGGAATCATTTGTGGAGAAATTGAGGCCTGTTCACACCAACACAAATGTTCGGAGCAATAAGCATCTTCATTTGAATGAACATCTGTTAATGCGTCTGTTCAAACTGACATGAAAATTTGCATGCAGTCATTGCAATGCAATTTCTTTTTATTGCAAGGTGCTCTAATCTCTTTTCCATCACACTGCGAAACAAACACCGATTCACTGTATTGGTCACATGCCCAGAGATTATTTGGCCAAGCAACGGTGAACAGCGTTGTTATTGTTAACTAAAACTAAAAACAAAATAAAAATGAATAAATAAATAAAAAAGCACACTTTTGTTACATAGGCTACATTTTCTATGAGCATTACTTAAAAGGGGTCATATGATGCGATTTCAAGTTTTCCTTTCTCTTTGGAAAATAATGATCTTTAAAATAGCATCATATGACCCCTTTAATGTCAGAGAGTGAATTTGCATTTTAATTCAACTATCTTCCATTTTTTGCATTGGTATGAACACACAAATTGCATGTGACCAAAATCAGAACAGGCCTTGACTCTTAGATCTGCCAGACCAACCACACCAGAGCTCAATGTTATGCTTTGGGGAACTAGTTAAACCTTGACTAAACCCAAGTAGTGCTGGCAATGACTCTTACGAAGCAGCTCTTTTTAATTAATTGGTCAAAAAGACACAAATCAGATTAAACTCCTGCATTATGGGTAATGTTTAAATAATTATGATAATAATATAATATCAAACAGTTTTAGTTTCCTTTTTGTTTTGTTTTTGTTGTTTTTTTTAGAATAGAGTTGAGAACAACCAGATTTGTTAAATGGAATCTGAATCCTCAGTCAGCAGAGAAACGGTTAACTTCACGGCCTGTCAGACAGACTAACTGGAAAGAGCTGCGTTCCAAAACACTCACTGCTCTTCACATTTACTAAAGCGTTTCTAATAAAACTTTTATGTAATTAATATGCTTCTTACAGATTCATAGTCTAACTATAAAAGCGGAGAAAACAAATACAAGAGCTGCTGAACAAGCAGTGAGTACTTTTGAAACCCTGCTTCAGTCCCACTACTGTCATGAACACACAGAGGCCGAAACAAACTCCATACCTTTTTCTCTGGAGAAAACCTTAGAGGTTCTACAATGTACAAGTCATCAGGACCTACTAAAGAGGGGAGAGAGGGGGCAGGTTAACGGAATGGTATGGCAAACAATAACACAAGCATGACAGCACTTGCAAGTAGTAGCACAAGTTATAAACAGACACTTCAAAGTATCTTCCTGCTGTTCTTCATGGGTGAAACTGCTATTCCATTGTAATCTGTTCTGACATGTCTTATTTCACTCTCATTTTTTTGCCAACAAAGTGTCTGCATGTGGTAACCATGGCTGCAGCATCAATTGTTTGCATAATGCTGTCATTTGGAAGTTTTGATTTGCTTATCTGTATATGCAACTCTCAGTAATCCATTAAATGTACCACATTTTTCCATTGTTACTACTTGCAAATGTCCAACATGTGCCAGCCAAAAGCATCATGTGCTAAAAATATCCAACCTCTGCCTTATGAACACAAACCACTGAGGAGCGCACACACACACACACACACACACACACAATGCTGCAGCAAAATGTGAGAGGAAAAAATAGCAGGAAATAAATGGAACAAGAAGAACAGGAAGGATCCAGTGTTTAAAATAGTGAAGACGGTTCAGTTTATCTAGCTGTGCTTGCAAAGTGTTTCATTCATTACAAAATGAAACTGCACTTAAAAATAAGGAATTATGAATTTATTCTTTAATGTATTGACTCTTTTAGTAATCAAATTGTTTGTCAATATGAAAAGTGATTCATTTACTTTGAGAATCAATAAACCGATTTCTCCAATTTATTAACTTTGTTACTTTTTTTTTAGTTTTTAGCTTGTAAAAGTAAATGCTTTTTACTTAAAGGGACATATCTGATCAGCGGACTCTGGTGGCGTCAAACATGAGGCAAGACTGTGTTGACATTCAATTACAAAGCACACTGCGCTCCAGTATAGGTCACACTGATATTGAATTATCGCCAGACACTTTGGAACTAGTGACAACTGGACTCAAAAGTAGTTCAAGCTGTAAAGTGATCTGTGTGGAATTTAATACAAAAGGCGTGATTCTTCTGAGAGCAGCAGCCAAATGAGAGCACACAACACAAGCCACATGTTAAGTGGGAAGCTGTGAACATCATCTTGAGTTTTCAAGCTGTGAGAAATGAAGATGGTGGATTTGAGTCTGGCTGAAAAAGACACGGGATGTTAAGAACCAAAGCAGAGTAAACAATGTGAATTACATGAGAGAAGGGGAGGAGTTAGAGAAAAAGAGAGAAAGACAGAGAGCTCTGGCATCAAAGCTCTCCTCAGTGTCAAAGGTGACTCTTACCTTCTGACGTGGGCAGCTGAAATGACTTTGAACGAACGAGAGGGCAAGAAACTCTCCGTTTCAGACTCATATCATCATATGAGGAAAAACACCTGAGAATGAGAAACAGAGATATTATTAACAAATATACTCTACGCAAGTGTCCAAATATAGATGTGAATGTTTGGCCAATGCATTGCAAGAATGCAGGGTTCTTCTATACATAATGTGCATTAACCATCAAAGGTAAAACAGCAATACTGTGAAATATTAATACAATACAAAATAACTGTTTTCTATTTGAATATACTGTATTTTAAAATGTAATTTATTCCTGTGTGGCAAAGCTGAAGTTTCAGCATCATTACTCCAGTCTTCAATGTTACATGATCTTTCAGAAATCATTCTAATATGCTTATTTGCTGCTGAAGAAACATTTTATTATTATCAATGTTGAAAACAGTTGTGCTGTATAACTTTTGTGGATACCTTTTTTTTTTAGAATTCCTGATTGATGAATAGAAAGTTCAAAATACCAATAATTATTTAAAATAAAAATCTTTTGTAACATTATAAATAATACATTTTTAAGGCATCCTGAAAAAAGTTAACCCCAATCTTTTGCGTGGTAGTGTATGTGGTTACGTTATTGTCACAAAGGGTTAACGTCAAACTTCTGTGCTATTAAACTGGATGTATGCTGCCAGCTATAAACTTGTCAACAGTTTACATAACTTCAACTAGCTTGCTCAGTAACTGTTGCTCTGCTCATCAAAAAGACTCATAAATCAGTCTTAAACCCATGTATTTTCAGTTTGAGTCCACTCTTTCATGCTGTTGTTCTGCCATAACAGTAGCTGACGTGACAGAAAACTGACTGCAGGGCCTCTAAAGAACTTGCTGCATCCCTGAGAATGCATTGTTCTTGTATTGCGTTATGAATTGCATTGCATTCTGACACATTTGGTGTGCGTGTTATACCTCTTAGGGCTGGGGTAGTGGTTGCTCATGGGAATGCTTGAGCTGGTGTTGTGACTGGGTGAGCTCCTGCAGCACTGCATACAAAGCAGCAAACCCAGCGTCAGACACAGGATCAGAGACAGCACTAGGTAACTCTGTCTGTCAGACACCTACAACACACAGTAAACAATAGGCTTTAAATATTCATATACATTACTGAGTGGGCCAAACATTAGATGGGTCAGGAATGAGGTAAGAAACGTATGTTTGTAGACCTCTCGCTGTAGCTGAGCAACAGTGGCAGACAGGTTCAGCATGATCTTGGTGGCATTCTCCAGCTGGCTCTGTAACATCTGTATAGACTCTGTCTGTTTCTGGTCCTAAACACACACACAGATGCAAACAGTTATCCACATGTTATTTGCGTAAAAAAAAAAAAAACACTGTACGTGCACTGTACATGCTTTTATTAACCAGAAGGTGTCTAAGAACATTTTATTTTGATTTTAAACAGCACTTTAATCAGTCTTTTTTATTGTCATTTGTTGGATAAACAATAGATAAAAGAAAAATAATCCAAATCTGTTTTTACTGTATTTTTGAGCCTTGGTGAGCATAAGAGACTTCTTTAAAAAACAAAAACAACTTACTGACCCCAACATTTTGAATGGTAGTGTATTTTTCTATTGAAATATTATATTTTCTTTAATACAGTGCCATTCACACTTTCTCAAATGTATTCAAGTGTAAGTGTCCAAACACGTTTTGGGGTCCATGTATGTTTCAGTTGCCAATGTCAAAGTTTATAAAAGGCCTAGCTCATATAACTAATGTTCTGTGTGACTGATAATAACCTGCTCTTCTGCAATTCTGGAGGTGTTCTGCAGTTTGATGATGGTCTTGTTGAAAGCCCGTTGCATCTCCTCCATCTGTTTACGATACCTGAGTGACAGCAGAATTGATCAATCAAACAATGTGGCCCACTAAGATCATTTTAGGTTTGGTAGCGTGTAATTGTGTGTGTGTGTGTGTGTGTGTGTGTGTGTGTTTGTTTGTACCTCTGGCTGAGCTCCTCTAGATATCTGCTGCTGAGGGACATGTTCATTTCTAGTGCTTTAATCCTGTTATTCAATCTCATGAACACGGATTCCTTCTGGTTGGATCCGTGCACCTGATTCCCGTTGCCGTTTCCATTCCCGTGGCCCATTTCCACCGAATTTTGCTGCTCTGCGTAAAACTCTCCGGTGGTGCGGTGTGGGAGCAGAATGTCATCTACAGTCTCCTCTTGTTGAGACAGAGGGGCTTCAGAAAGCTCCAGCTGGGAGGCCACAGCACTGTGGTGAGGATCTTCAACCCCTGCAGTCCTGCCGTTATCTGAGGCCTCTGGAAGTGGGACGGGAAGTTCAGTAGGAGGTGGGATCTCAGCAGGGCGAGTGTGGGTGGGCAACGGCTGAACTGTCTGCTCTTTGGTGGGGACGGGGAGCTCCAGTTTGGGAGGGTCTGTCTCTGGACTGTGGGGTTTGGTGGTGGTGGAGGAGAGCGGAGAGGAGGCAGCACTGGGTGAGAGGAGGCTGCTGGTGCTGCTCACGGGTGTATGGGTTTCTGGGATGTCCACCAGGTACTGCGGATGCTGGTCCACGGGCTCTCCTGTGGGTAGAGACTCTGGGATGTTTTGGGTGGGGGTGTCGGAGAAGCTGTGTGGGGGAAGGGTGGAGGTACGACTGGGCTCTAACAGGATAGTCTCAGGTGGGAGCTCCTGCTCGCTCATCACAGATTCCCCACTGGAGGACTGAGGCAGAGTAGCCACCGTTTCAGTGGGGGAAATCCTCTCGGCTTGTGCCTGAGAGGGCCACTCTGTTTCTGGAAGTTTCTCAGAGGGTGCAGGGGGCTCTTGGGTTGGGGTGGTGTCAGGGAGTGACTGCAGAGGAGTGGTTTGCGTGTCCATTTCGGTGTGTGTGTGCTGTGCTTTGTGGCGGCGGTCTCTACGCTGGCGCTGTAGTGCTAAAGCTGCCGAACAGTAGCAGTAGAAGTGTTCGTGCAAAGACGCCAAACAGGACAAAGTCGAGAGGTGGCCGCAGTACGTGGTGCTCTCACTCTCCCACATCTCCTCTAGTCTTTTCTCCTCCTCTCGCTCCTCCTCCAGCAGGGTCACCGTTGGCTGAGTGGCCTCTTCTTCCTCCTCGATGAGGATGACGATACGGTTTTCCTCAGGGGGAGGCTCTGAAGGAGCCTCAGGAAGAGGAATCTTTAAGTCCTCCTTCACTAGAGTGGGATCCAGCTCAAGAATATCCAGCCTGGCGATATGAAGACCAAGAATGTTAGTGCACAAATCTCTCTTTTTATTTTAAACCAAGGATGCACAATGTTTGTTTCTTAGTTATGAGCACAAGCACAAAGAATCTGAGCTCACTGAACTGAAATGCCTGTCATTCCCAAAAGTCTACACAACCCAACTCCTAACATGTTCATTTTTTCCAAGAAAGAATTCATCCAAACATGAAAAATTCTGTAGTTTGCGAAGTTATTTAGTTCCAATTCCATATGACTTAAAAGAGCAATAACAGAAGAAATTCTATGACAATGACAAGGAATATCAATGAATGTGGGCAAAAGCTGTAAAGCTTGAAAAAATATGCAAAAGACATTAAACCCAAACTATTAAACATTTTTTCATTAAAGCTGAAATAAAATATAAATACTAGATTTAAAAAAAAACATATTACAGTGGGGGAAATATTTATTTGATCCCCTGCTGATTTTGTAAGTTTGCCCACTTACAAAGAAATGAAGGGTCTGTAATTTTTATGGTAGGTTTATTTTAACGTATAGAGACAGAATACCAACCAAAAAATCCAGAAAAAACACATTATATAAAGGTTAGAAAAAGTTTTCATTTAAGTGAGTGAAATAAGTATTTGATCCCCAAACAAAACATGACTTAGTACTTGGTGCAGAAACCCTTTGTTGGCAAGCACAGATGTAATACGTTTTTTTTTAGTTGGTCACCAGGTTTGCATACATCTCAGGAGGGATTTTGGTCCACTCCTCTTTACAGATCCTCTCTAAATTCTCAAGGTTTCTTGGCTGTCAGCTCCCTCCACAGATTTTCTATAGGACTGAGGTCTGGAGACTGGCTAGGCCACTCCATGACCTTAATGTGCTTCTTCTTGAGCCACTCCTTTGTTGCCTTGGCGGTATGTTTCGGGTCATTGTCATGCTGGAAGACCCATCCATGACCCATCTTCAGTGTTCTGGCTAAGGGAAGGAGGTTCTCGTCCAAGTTTTTACAGTACATGGCCCCGTCCTGTACCCTTAGCAGAAAAACAGCCCCAAAGCATAATGTTTCCACCTCCGTGCTTGACTGT